GGATGGAACACCCGTAGTCCGTAAATTTGCCCATGGCACAATAGGGAGCGCTTAACCCATTCTCGAATGACTCAAATTAGTAGACTATACTAACACTAGTGACGGAAAATCAAATGGAGCCATTCTGATCCGTTTGGAAATCCCACCCCATGACCACATTGTATTTTGACCAAGCGTGTGAAAGCGACGTGCCCGCAAAGCGGTTTAGATCGGACCATTTCATTTTATGGCTGGAACTCAAATATTGCTTTGAGCTCACGCTAAGTAGCTAGTCGACGAGACTCTAAGTGTAATATTGTGAAAGAGTGGCGCCGTTTGCTGCTGCTGGCTTGGTAAACACAGTGAAAAGCCGCGAAGGACACTACGCATGACGACTGACAAGCAGGTAAGCTGAAGGATCGGCGATAAGCATGGAGGATTAAAGTGTTTCGCATCAGATTCCAGTCGTGAAGCTATTGATAGGGTTCTATGACCTTTGGATTTAGATATGTAAGATCATTCAGGAAATGTGTCTTCATCTAAACATGTATATCCGTGATCGATGGCTGGCCTCTCTGTATAATGTTATAACAGTGGTGTATTGCGCAGTGGCCGAAAAAGATCGCTAAATCGACGGCATCCACTTGGCTTGCGATGCACAGGCCGGTACGCACTCCTGTATCAAATGCAGCACAGAAAGGAATGTTGGGTTTTTAAGCGACAGCTGAGCTGGACGAGCACCACCACGCCAGTCGTGTGAACCTTCGAGCTGACACTCTACTACCGTCTTACCCCGCATATAAGGCATATGTGCTATAAATAAATACGGGATTCGCTCGACATCTAGCTTAAACCTCAATTTGACCACCTATCTAATTAGAACACATGTGTAAAACACAAGGCTGTACCAGCCAATGAATATTCTTGAGAGCTCCCAACCAACCACCCTTCTGAACAAACTTGTCGGTGCTGCTGTTACTTGGCTTTAATTCTCTTATTTTAAAGTTTACACAGCCATATGTGCTGAGCGACGTAGCTATAGTATCCACGAGAAAATCGCTGTTCTAGCAGACTATCGGATAGGCGTGAAAGGTCACGGCTTTGCTGCTCTTAGCAAGAAGCACAGCGTGGCGGTTTGAACCCACGCCGATCGCGTAGGAGGTTCAAGCCTTAACGACCAAGCCATATTCCAGGACCCATAGACTTGCTTCTTCAAAGTCAAACAATTTGTTCGTTGTACAACACATAGGCTTTCTAAACGATTATAACACACAAGCAGCGTTGTATTCATTTACAGCACCTATGCCTTATATGCGGGGTAAGACGGTAGTCCACGCCCACCCCACGAATGTAGTGTCAATCCCTCGCCAAAATCAATAACTTGTCCTTCTGTCCTTTTCATATATATGTGCCCTATCGTCTTTCGCGCTACGCATACAACTTTGTGGTTTGCATCGGCTAAGTCTTCTATCATCGTCCATGACCTTCCGTGCTTCGTGTTGCTCTTCTATCCCATCGTCTACATAGTGTGGGTCGGTGTTCTTTCGTGTTTCGTGTTCTTGCTGAGTCACGTGCCTCCGCGCCAGCTGAATCACAAACGCTGGTCCGATTTTGCTTGATGTACATAGCATATATTGCTGGAAAGTTCACACAATATGTTAAGGTCGCACACTACGTGCAAAAATACAGAGGAAGATGATACTTATCCCCGGAGCAGTGTGGAGTGCAGGGGTGTAAGCCACAATAGTCATTTTTTATTTTTTCACATTATTATTAATAGTAATACAATTGTTATTTATTATAAAACGCTGATATTATAATTATGTGTACTACTACTACAACAAATAGCTGCAAGGAAAAATAGGAATTGTCTTGATAACAGTACTACTCAAAACAGCATTGTAAGTTTAATTTCTGGAAAAGTACTATGAAGCCTAAAATATCATTCTATATTCAATAGCTACTAAAGTTTCGATTGAGGCCTAAATATAAGTCACCAGGGCCTACAAAAAAATTCAACAGCTCCTACGACGATATTGTATGTGTGTGCACGTCGGCGCCTCCTATTAATGCTAATTAACGCGTGCACAGGCAGCGCCCTTCGCGTGGCCTTGCATACCGCAGCTGAAAATGAAAGCAAAATGAAATTTGAGTGGTGCATTTTAAGTACGATGTGTTGACCACATACAGTGTGTACACCACATAATTCAATTTTAGCCAATCGACGCCGCCTTCGCTGCGCTCGGCAGCCAGTAGAACGCCCGCATTTGCGTTACATTAATTAACCCTAGCCGCGGACGGACTGACAGACAACACACTCCACTAGAGAGGTAAGACTAGCCGTTCGCCGCCGCTACGCGCGCAGCTGCATGGTTTTGTTGGAGATAAGGTGGCCGCAAATGAAAGTGCTTCTGGGGTGTCGCGCGCGTTGTAAGCGTCGCTCACCCCAGTACGCCGTGGCTTCATGTACTTATACCCTTACCATTCCGTAGTCTCAGGGGACCCCGGAAAAATGGGTGTTGGGTAGGCTCCGTTACCCGGTACTACCAGATGTGTGTCCTGTTCTACCGGTGGCAGGGGCTCTTCCGGGATCTTCCTGG